GATATTTACGCATGCAAGCAGTTCACTCAGAAATTATTCATGAATATATTTTATCCTTTCTCCTATATAGAAATGTTCAGATGCATACGTGACTTGTCATAAAAGCTCTAGAAACTTGAGCTTCTAAGAGGAAGACAAGAATCAAGGAGCTTGAAAACCAGTAAATTTAGTGGAAGACAGAAGACATAACTTTGCTTCATCTTGGTGATATAATTGCAAACATGTAATTCTAGATAAAAGGGGAGAAGAAGGGTGTCACGGGAGACAAACCGGAATTTGAGGACCATAAGTTGAGAATAGTCCATAGCATTGATCCACATAGGGATATTTTGAGCAGATCTACAGTTGCCGTACCAAAAAATAAAAAGAGCAAACAATTAGTTATCCACTAGTGCAAGAATAAAACGGTTCAACAAAAATGCTCCTGAGAAAAGTATTACCATGGGCTGACCAAATCCCAGGTCAAAGCGACCGGTTGATTGTAGAGAGATGGCTACAGGAGGTTTTTGTCCATCCCCTGAATTTTTGCAATCACCTAAACAAGATAGTGTTTTTACCGTCAGCAATGTCAAAAAGAAGCACCTGATACATTTTTGCAATCACCATGATCAGAAAGTACTTGTGCATGTGACAAAAAGTTCTATTCATTCTGATTTTCTATTAAATAATTTACCAACTATTGTAATCATAAAAATATAGGCTGGATTAGAGAAAGACATTCATAGTCCCTTTTTTTTTTTTTTGTCTGTTCATTTCAATAAGTCCTCTTTATATTAGGATAAATGCTGAGAAAATTAGAGCTAGCATATAATGATCCTAGCCACCAGTCTAATTAAGCAAAATGCAGTATTACTTATGAACCACGTTCTCATTCATTGAATTCTGAAACCATAGCCATAAAGAAGATCAAGGACTCAAGTTTACTTAACATGAAAATAGTAAACAACTGTTTTAAAATAAAGCTGGGAGCACAGCACTCTTTAAGCAAGCATTGCTTGATTCCAAGAATAAAGCATACACAACCATCACACAAAATCTCAATATTTCATATAGTCATGCACATTTTTGGGTTGAAACTTCTATCTTAGTGATTTCACAATATTTTCATCTTAACTAGCAGTACTCCAACTAGGCTACACAATAAACACTACCTAACAAATGCTAAACACTGTCAAGTGCCTGAAATTGTATTAAGCTTTGAAGTCAAAGACAACAAGCTGAAAATTTTTCCTTTCTGGTAAAAGAATTAGTTTCCACAATTAGCTCAAAATTTATGGTGTCATTATACAGTTTGATTATCCCAAAGGGCTGCAAGTAATTGCAGGCACTTATTTTATGCTTCTCCATCAAATTCCTCATCCTGCCACCATTCTTTTAGCCAATTAAAATATTTAGATAATTTTCTGGATCATCACATAACCTGGGTTAGGCAATGCATTCTTATTTTGCAGATTCCTGATGCAATAACAGAAATTTTCTGTAGAATTTCACCAAGCTGCCATGTAGAGATTCTCTACTAATGTAAAAAGGTTTATTTGTCTTTCCCTTCACATATTTATGTTTTTAAACACGCACAATCTCATTAAATTTTGGGCCAACAGTAGCTGGATATCATAAAGTGAATCTTACCTCACAGATATTATCTATAAACTTCATAAGTGAATGGGTGAAAATCATATGAAATCACCTCATATACTTTGAAAAAATAAAATGAAAATAAATTACTTCTATTCAAGTTTGGACCCACTTTATAAATCTAACAATGGGACCATCCCCCTGTTCATAAACATCAAACAATCATATACGTAATCGTGGTGACAAAAGTCAGCAGAACTGTGAGATGGGGAAGGGGAATTGAGCCCATCTGTTCACAAACATCCAATAAGCATACTTAATTGAGGTAACAAAAGTCAGCAGAACTACAAGTTGGGGAAGGGGGATTGAGCATCCTCTTTAATTCATGCTCGGTTGTATTTTAGAGGTAATTGCTTAAATGTCAATGACCTTAATTGTAGATCTTATATCCCCAAACATTTGGAAATTGGAAGACATTAACTTCAACTCTAAAACAATTGACACATGTCCAATTCATTGAGATTAAAAAGTTAAGCCATAAAGGATTCTTAGGATGCAACCTAAGTAAATGTCCCCTTAGAAACTCTTGCTTTAGCAACAAAGTTCAGGAACACTGGTTACCTAAGAAGAAGAAGAATAACCGTGAAAGACACTCGTAAAATATAATGATATTCCTTAAGTTGCAGAATTAGTCACATACATGATCCTTGGAATATAGGGAACTTTAGAATAGAAACAGATCCAAAAACGAAAAATGAAAATTCAAGATTACCAGGGAATATAGTGAACTGAGTTGCAGTCCCTTTATCCACCCCTTGTTCATTGCCTGCTCCTGCTTGTTTGGTAGGTGTGAGTTGGTCCACACTGCTAAGATGCTCCATGGATAAATGTTTCAGCTGGCCACAACCTTCCCCATAGACCGATTGGGATCCAAACGCGCTCCACCAAGGTGCAGATGGTGTGGATGACAACTGCCCCATGGGATTATTAGTATTTCCTTCATGCTCTCTGAGACACAGAGTGTGCATGGCCATTCTAATCTTTCTAGTCTCTCAAATGATTCCCTCTCAAAGCGATTCCAGCAAATAATTTTCACTCAACTCTCCAATTCCACTTGTTTGATCAAATTTCTGCAGTATAAAATCCACAATCAGCATTCACTTCAAAATTTTGACAAATTAAAATACATAAATATGGAAAAACAAGTCTGAAAATTAATCTGAAGGAACATCTTAAATAAATTTCTATGTTACACATAATTCATTGATCTTGTATTGGATCCAAAGAGACAACAGTTGAAGAGGAGCCTAAAATAAGAAAAGAGAACAAACAAGGGTATTAAACAGAAGAAAAGTTAATGGATGCCTTCATACAGAAACCTCTAAAATTGAATAAAAAGCATCACTTTTCTTGGTATAGAGAACAACCACACTAATTCCTGGCATTGAACTGAAAAAGAATCAAAAAAGGGCAAACCCCAGTTTCTAAAACACATGGATTGCCCAAAAAGAAAAGAAGTCAGTACCCTAATATAGCAAAAACATTATTAAATCATGACATATTGCAAGAGATCACAGTTCAAATAAGGAGAAAGATGCACCCAAAAACAGCAGAAATGTTAAAAAAAAAGCTGAAGAATAGCAAGAAGAAGTACTAGTACTCACATCAGAATCCAAGAAAGATGCAACTTCGAATCCTACGCTGAAGAGAAGCCCCGTTTGTTAGGAGCCATGTCGGTATAAAAACGAAGCTTAGTAGAGGTAGGGGGAAGAGAGGATAGAGAGAGAGACGACCGACGTATGCGTACAAGTGTAATGGAACTACGCGCCACCCACCAATCAGCTTCAGTTCTCATGCAATGTACTGTATACTATATGTGCAAAAACATATAAAAATTACTTTTTTACCTCTGATTTTAGGTACGAAATGTTCTTTCTCAGCTTCGGGAAAAAAACCAATGTTTAGCCCCTAATTTTATTCAGTTCATCGTTTTTAGTCCCTTACTTTACATATTGAAAGTTTTAGCCTCTTAAGTATGTGAGTTAAAGAAAATAATCCAAAATGGAGGTTAAATTATCACGTGGCTGTTAAGATTCCGTTGTCTTTTTCCTTATTAGAGCCACACAAGCTAATTCAATTTAAGGCAATAGGGCAGGCCATTGTGGCCAAAATATGAAGTTAAGTGGTTCATTATTATTTGAAATACATTAAAGAAAAACTAATTAAGATTTTGTTTAGTATGGTTGTATTTTTTTTATCTGTTTACTAATTAGTACTATATTCAAATTAAATTAACTAAATTGTAATTTTAATTTAAAAAATTGATTTCTAAATATGGTATTACTTACCAAATATAAAAAATGTAGAAACTAAAAACTAAAAACCAAGAACCAAAATGATAATAAATTGAATTTAAAAACCGAGATAAAAAGACAATTCCATTGACCAATGGCTCTCTGAGTTTAGAATCATTTTGCATTATGAAGTTGAATGCAACTATAAATTATCACGTGACCCCATCAATTCATTGTCATCAATCAATGGCTCAATGAGTTTAGAATCATTAAATTATCACGTTGCTTCATCAGTTCCATTGATAATTTAAAGCTAATTTGGGGTTATTTTCTTTAAGTCAAATTGTTAAAGGACCAAAACCTCAAATGTGTAATTTGATGGGCAAAATCAAGGAAATTAATAAGGTTAAAGGCTAAACATAGGCTTTTGCCCTCAGCGTCAGCCTGCCAGACGAACCGTTATTGGTTTTAAATAGGTGTTTTTTTCTTTTATTTTGATGGTTATTGGTTAGGTTTTAATAGGTATTGGGATTAGCTATTTAAATGTAATGAACAGTTGATATTTCACTACATATAATGAAAATAGTTTTTAGGGTACTTTTTAAGGTCCAGCTGGCGTCCAACATTAATCTCATATAATTATTGTTAATTATAATTTAAATATATATTTACTTAATTAAGTAAAATCGCCAACTTCAAATTTCTGTATCAAACACCTTATAAAAGCTTGTAATATTACATTCTGTTCGAGTTAACTGAAATGTTAAGGTTCAAACCCAGATGATTTTTCCAGCGACAAACGTCTAAAAATAATATCTATGAGATTTGGCTCAATTAATGAGGTTTAGCCTTAATTGGACAATAGGACCATGATTGGCACACATACATTCGTACCACACTCCCGTTACACACTTATTTTTCCATTAACTTTTACACTCCGTTAGTCTCCATTTCACTCTCATCGTGTTCCCACCTTTTTTCTTTTTCTTTTTCTTTTTTCTCTTAGGTTCTCTCGAGAACCCAGGTCGGTTCTCCAAAAAATCAAAAAAAAAAAAAAAAAAGGTGGGAGCCTGGGAGAGACTGGCAATTGTCTTACAGATGATTAGGATAAGGATGGAGGTGAGGAGAAAGATGGATCTGGTGAGGACGGAAAGGGTTGGGTGAGTTGGAAGATGGCTAAAGAGATGGTAACGGAGTTAAGTGTAATTAACGGTAAAATAACAAAAATTGAAGTGTGTAACAGAGTGTGTGGTGCGGGGGTGTGTATGCATCATTATCCTTTGACAATATTAGTATACAGTTATAGTTGTAAGCTTTTTATTTTTAAATATTTTAAAAATATATAAAATATAAAATTAATACGTATTAATCTGATTATAAAATATTAGTAGTATCAATTCGATTCTTAAAAAAAGATTTAAAGTTTTAATTTACATTTGAAAATTAAACTTTCAATTCAAAATGCAAAAATTCACCCTATTAAATATTAATACCACCTAAATTTGAAAATTTATTATATTTTTTAATATAATCAAATTTTAAATTTAAATATCAATATTTAATAAGATTAATTTTTAAATTTTAAATTAAATTTTAATTAAATAAAACATATAATTTAAAGTAGACTCCAATAATTTTAAAAGTAAGATATATTTCCCCTTTATATATTTTAATTAATATTTTATATATTTTTAAAATAATTAATAATTAAAAATTAAAGTACAGAAAAATATTACCATAGAAAGCCTTTAACATTTAACTTATCTAACTAGTGCGATGCCTTGGAAATTGGACTGGATAAACTCCCATGATCCCATCCTAATCTTTTTATGTAAACAAATATAAAAATCATACCCACTACTCCAAAAATAAAAACCATCCCCATTTTCTGTCTGTGGTGGTCCCTTAATATGTTTACTTTTGCATTGTCTTTCTCATCACTCCTCGTTTCTTACAATCTATCTAGAACTTTCCCAATTTCCACTTTCTGGGGTTTTTACTGATTTATCCGGTTTTACACTCCAAAAATAGCTGTTCAATACATCAATCTGCCCTCATCCAACGGCTAGCCATGCCATCTATATATACATATATATATATATGTATATATATTTTTGACAGAAAAAATAATTAAATTAAATATTAATATCTGTTGTTGTCGAACTTTAAAATTAAGTACATTTTACCTATACTCAAAAAATAGCGTGACCACCACTAGACCACATGAGAGATTGCAGCCATGCCATCTATATATTGATGGATCATTTGAGTTAATTTGGCTGGATTTGGTTACATCATAAAAAAAAAAAAGTTGTCAGCGTGTAAATAGGATGAATTATGTTGATAACATAAAATTTGGACAACTCGATCGTATAAAGAGATTTTAATAGGGGAAGACAGATCATTTTGAATCCAATTCCCACTTAAATCTATCATTATGGGATTTTATAAGATAAAAAAATAAAAAAATATATATAAGAACCCCAACTCTTATACAATCTTTAAAAAATTAATCTTGACAACTAAGGAATCCACGTAAAAGGATTGGCTTCTTATCGTCTCGAGCTTTCTAGATTTGCCTAAGAACTATCGTCAAATATAATGCTATGAACCACTAATAAACAACTCCAAGGTTTAGATTTATTAGTACGCATCATTTTTTAGGATAAATTCAAAGTTTAAGTTTTTGTGTTAATACTTAAATAAGTTAATTTTTTTGAATGTACGAAACTAATATGAGGGTGTACCTTTAAGATCACATGAAAAAAATTTAATTTAGAAATGTACAAAAATTAGGATAAAAAAAACCTCTATTAAAAATTCAAGAGAGAAAAAAAATTCTAATTGGAAATAAATAAATAATAAAACAAAAAAACTGAAGTAAAAGATGACTATATAAATGTCAAGGCGACAACATATGCCTAAGAAAATCTTAGGAAGTTTGCTGCGAAGGGAAATGAAGGAGTAAATGTGCAAATAAGGATTTCAATTTTATACTATTTTTTATTTAAGAATGTTAACTTTATCAGTTTCTAAATAAAGATGTCAACTTTCAATTTTTTCTATTTAAGGATTAATTGAATAGTGATGTTGACGTGGCTAACATATTTTTTAAAGTTAAATACCTAAATTGATCCCTCAACTTTTATTTTTAAACCAATTCATCCTTGAACTTCAGAAAGTACCCAAAACGTCATTCAACTTCAATTTTCAATTAATAAAATTATTTCCTAATTTATGGAAGAATTAATTAAATTTTATTTAATTTTATTAAATGGTAGGTGTGACTAATTAAATGGGAAAATATATTAATTATTTTAATTTTTAAATATAAATAAAGTAAAATTAAGAATTAAAGTACTTTTTAAATTATTTAAAATTAAAGAAATCTACATAATCATTTTTTATATGATCGATTTTCCACCTAATATTGAAAATGTAAAATAGTCAATCACTTAGCGAAAAATTAGCTACATCAACACTTAACTAACGGAACGATGACATTGAAAATTGAAGTTGAAGAATGTTTTGGGTACTTTCTGAAGTTTAAGGATGAATTGGTTCAAAAATAAAAGTTGAGGGACCAATTCAGATATTTAACCTAAAAAAATATGTTAGCTAAGTAAACATCACTATTCAATTAACTCTTAAATAAAAAAAGTTGAAAGTTGACATCTTTAAATAGAAAAAATTGAAAGTTGACATCCTTATTTAGAAAAAATTAAAAATTAACATTCTTATTTAGAAACTGACAAAATTAATGTTTTTAAATAGAAAAAAATACAAAGTTGGAATCCTTATTTGTACCTTTACTCAGAAAAAAAGAAAGATGAATTTATGGTTTTTTTGAGAGAGAAGTAGGTCAGATGTAGGATTTTTTTTTTCTTTGTTATTCTTTGGAAAAAGATTGGTACTATTATTAAAAGTTCCCATTCTTTGTAAAACCATAATGAAAGAATTTTTCATGAATCTTTCTTAGTGAATGACTTCTATCCGCTCTAATTAATTTAGTAATTAGAGAACAACTAATATAGCTAATAGGTGGTCGATATTCATCTAGCACTTGGATGGACTTAAACTAAAGTTAAGTTTGAAAAATGGTGCACTTAATTTGATATAAATAGCAAAGAATCCATTGAACACAGCCAAAAAAAAAAAGGCCTAGTTTACACTATCAGAAAAGCGATATCTATTCTTTGATAAATTTATTGTTTGGGGTTATAATCAGATAACTATTGGTTCATTGTAGAATTTGCACAATGCATCATCATCTCTTGGTTGCTCCTAGCTAGCTGTACCAAACTAATAAATATTATATATCGTTACAATTTTTTTAAGCACCGTATCATTTTTTATTCTGTCTACACTTCAACATCAACAATAACTTTAATAATTTTGTTATTATAATTAAAGAAATGTTACCTCGTAATTCCCAATGAAGTCATGTTGGACAGAGGAATGTC